AAAACATTACCAATTAAGAGAGTTTATTTTTTTAATAAGCAAAACCAGTTTTTATTTCAACGATCTATCGATATCTATCAAAAAGAAAAGGTATCTTAGAAAGACATTTATAATGATCTACTCGCATTCAGAAGGAGAATTAATAAAGGGTGTGGATAGAATTCAAGACAGCTCTCTTAATGTCAATCAATCACGCTCACACCTGCTAGTGTACACTGGCTATCTTTACGACATGTTTTTATTGATTTTAGAGCTAAAAAAAACTTAATTTTTGCTAAGTAAATGAGAAAAGCAATAGTTTTTTTTTATTTCTTAAACAAACGAACATGTATATTAAGAGATACCATGGTGACTGATTTTCTCTTCCTACTGCATCTATCTTTAGAACACAAAAATTCTATTATTTTCCTCCAATATCTTAATTGTATTAAATAATGAAATGCATTCGTACATCACACGAATTGTATGAATGTTGCAAGCAAAATCTATGTTTACAATATTTCAATAAGCACAATCCTTTACCCATTTCTCAACTGAATCCGTTCACTAATAAAATTAACATACTTGGAGATAGTCTCGAAATGCTAAATATTCTAAAAATAATTGATGATAGTCGTCGAAAACTCGAGAAATGGCGTGAAGATTGTTATATGAACATTGACTTATTGTTGGAACAAAAGTGTCAAGGGTGTGATGGGTATGAGTGTGGGTTGGTGGGTAGATGAATGTGGACGGTAGTAAACAGAAGACCTGTATCTACATCCACACCCTCATCTATATCATCTCTTTAGTTTCATTCAAGAGTATGTCTTAGATAATTATGTATAAGATTATCTAGAAAAAAGGTTTACAAACATTTATGTCAGATTTCGATATCTCATTATTTCATCAAAACATGTTCCCTTCAGTTAAGCATGTAGAAAGAGAAGATGATAATATATATAGCATTTTTTGTCATCTGAGGTCTAAACCTTTTTTTTTCTGGTTTTTGTATTTTTCTTTCAGAAAAAAGGGTCATAAACGCGATATTCTTTGCAATTTAATTACTAATAATGGATATTTATATCTACTTTGATAAGCAAAACGTTCACCTGAGTATTTTATTAAATTTATTCCATCAAAATATATTTGATATATCTGTTGACTTGTTCTAATGTAAAATTATATTATCATAATGAAATTCTCATGTAAAAAATTTGGACTAAGAATCAGATTAAAAATCGATTATAATGGTACTATTATAATCTGATTTTAATCAGATTTTTCAGCTTTAAAAGACAGATTTTATTTGATTTTGATTTTCTTTTAATCTATTTTAACCGATTACCTACAATGACTATAATAATCGATTAAAATAGATTAAAAAAATCAAAATAAAATAAAATCTGTCTTCTAAAGCTGAAAAATTTGATTAAAATCAGATTATAATAGTGCCATTATAAACGATTTTTAATCTAATTCTTAATCCAATTTTTTTACATGGGTTCATCATAACAAATATATCATTTCACTTGTTTCTGTTTCATATTCTTGACTATTCCGTTTTGAGAGAAGAATGACGTATGTACTAGATATATTTTGTGATCGTATATTAGATAATAAAGTCAACGTGATAAGATGTATTCATTTCAGTGTACCAAGAAAAAAACACATTCGACCAGTTTTATCTACATATTGTGGAATTAAAATGTTAAACATGACACAGATACGTTAGTCCTGCACAAAACAACCTTTCATCACGTCTATCACAGACTGTAGGGAAAAGGTGATGAATCCAACTTCATCGTTCTATGCACTTCAACACTCTTTTTAGATTATGTTTTAGAATAAAATTAATTAATCTTTCTCACTGTGTTCGTTGATGATCAAGGTGTTTCTGTTAATAAGCGATGATAATCTACTTTCTCACGTTATTTACTTCTTATATAATAATCTGTTAGAAAGTCTATCTCAAATTTTGTCACCTGTAGCATGTAAAAATGTCATATTAAAGTGTAATTGTAAAAAAAATCAATTAAATATGATTTGGTTATTTTAAGAGAGGTATGCTTTTATTCTACATATTTGTAAATATTTTGTGCATCTTTTATTTCGGTCGAAACAAAAGCAATGTACCTGAAGCTATTGGAAAAAAATTCAAATTTGATTCGAAAAAATAGAATATTTAATTTTCAAAATCTAATTTCTTTAGATGAGTAGGTGTAAATTCGTTCTAGTGTCGATCTTTGTAGTCTGCATTATTTTATGACTTACTACAGTTTTTTTATCCTTTTTCAAAGAAGAAATGAGAAAACTGATCTAATTTTGTTATCATTATTAGACAAACATGGGTTTACAATACACTATACTCATTTATACCTGCTACCATAGTCAAATTGCTAGTCGTGTCACAATAAACTTTTAGTCTAGTTTCTTTTTATATACGTTAGTGTTTTCTGTCATCTGATAGGTATGAGCTTTATCCATTATTTTTAGCCATACATACAAAATTGTTAATAGAAATAATTTCCTTATTCTCTATCTATGTAATCCAATTTTATAAGCACCGAAATAAACAGTTGCATTTTGCTCTCAAAGGAATGGTCAAGTTTTATTAATGTTGTTTTTTTTTAAAGAAAACTCATTTTGTCAAAGAATTTACTTTATAAATTGTTAAAGCAATAATCTTCTAAGTTAAATGAACTCGAAACTATGTATATATGTCATCGTCTTGCTTTTTCTTTTTTAACTGTGTTTCACAATTATTCAAGCCTTAAGAGACTGAGGGAGAAAAAAAAACAAAAATGATATAGTATAAATACGAGAACTATATCATATAGTTGTGTCACATAGTCATTTTTTGAGCACTAATCCATTAATATGTCATTGAACAGCACAACAGCTATGGTTACTTCAACACAAGTAACAAACACAATCATTATTCTCAATTTTTTGATGGAACGATTTGTGAATCATCTTCCATTAATATTCATCATTTTTGGTTTGATCGGATTCATGGGAAATGCTTTAACATATACTCAAGCTGAACTTCGGTCGCATACATGTTGCATATATTTACTCTTTGGTTCTATCCTTGATGTTACCGTTCTTTTTTTCAATACATTACCACTCTATCTAAACTTACGATATAGAGTATATATTCCGTGGATGAGAATACCCGCTCTATGCAAGTTCTATATTTTTATGCTTGGATTTCTTCCTCATTTATCAGTCAATTTTTTGTTGATGTCTATTATTGATCGATATGCTTGCACATGCAAACTGACGTCACCCATACGTCGTCTCAATAAACTTAAAATGGCACCATGGTTGATCGGTATCACTATCATCTCGAGTTGCCTCGCTTCACTGCGGGGACTCATTCTTTACGAGTTTGAAACAGGTTCAGGATGTGTAGTCACAAATCCGCTGATCAATAATATTTTGTATATTTTGATTCAATGTCTTATGCAACCAGCGACAATGCTTGTGTTTGTCTTGCTGACTTTTCGGAATGTTCATCAAAGTCGTCAACGAGTAGTAAGCCCATTAATTTTCTCGAGAAATAGATAATGATCATTTTGTTTAGCATGGAACAACAAGAGCACAGTCAAATTCTTCTAGAAAAAAATTCATCACTATGATCTTCATACACGTAATAGTAACAGCTTTCATTACTTTACAATGGTCGATTATGTATATGTATTATTATATTCCTGCCAGCGGTAGAACCTCTGAGCAACGAATTATTATTAATTTTGCATATTGGCTTACAAATTACTGTTTCTATCTGAACAATGTCAAATCATTTTATCTATCAATATTAACATCACGTGTATTTCGACAAACATTCATAAAAGCGTTGATCAAATTATTGCCTCACCATCTGCGTCAACGACAGCGAGCATCTCAGACAAATATTTCCATGGTGATGACTGTCACAAAAATCAATCAAGAAAATAGAAGACGACATGCAATAGAAACAGTATTTTGAGGACAGTCTAAAAAGGTTTCATTTTTTTTGTATTAAATGGATGTTGTTCGTCTAATAGATTGTCAGTTACTATTGTAAAAGTATCTTCATCTATCATCATAAGATACTATAGAACAAAATATATTTCATCAAATCGTATAAACTTCATCGCGCACTTGTAATGGGTAGTCCATAAAGAAGAAACCTCTCAGTATTTTGAGCATGTCACTTACATTTCAACATAGAAAAACAACATTTTTTAGAATAAGATTTCTTGTTCAATTATCTATAATATGCAGGTATGTATATTATCTTAAATCTTCTTTATCATTTTACGACATACGATACAATCGATATGTCCAAGATGAGCAACTTTCAAAAGCAACATTTTGTCGAATTTTTTTTACAGATGATATAGGTGTGTGAGTATGGGTGCGGGGTGTGGGTGTTGGTGTTGTTCAAGAACAGTAGAACACCCACACTGACACCTACACTGTTAGCATCAGTAGGTGGTACTCACTGACGCAAAACGTTTATTCATATGTTATCTGTTCCTTTGATCTCTGTTTTGATTTGTTACGTAATCTTTCAACTGTGACTGATCCTCGTGATTGACTTCTTTCGTTCTTTATTGGGAAGTCGTTGGTTTATATTTTCCTAGTTATTACTATTAATATTATTAACACCTTCTATATTATTACATTCTGGTCTGATGGTTATTATTATCTTTTCTCTCTCTCAAAATAAAATATATAAAAATATATTATTATATTAAATATATTCACTTTACAACGACAAAGTACGACAGACAATCGGTGTAAGCTCTCAAAAATCGTTAAGCAGACTGAAATATCAGTTCTTTCATACATTCCCTCAAACGAGAGTCTTACACATACCCCTGCCCACATCCACACTCACACCCTGGTTATGTGAAATATCAATATATAATAAAAATAATTATAATATGAAAATTTATAATTGGCTTTTATTAGTGAGATAGTTCTTCAGTATGTACAAGAGTTTTGATGATTCATGAGAAAAATTGTGATTATAAATAACTTTGACCAAGTTGTAATGCGTCTTCATACGCTTTAATAGTACGCATTAAGTTTTCTCGTCTTATCGTTTGATCAGTAGGTTCTTTCATAAAACAGAGCAAATCTGTTGAAGGACAAGCATTTGTTAAAGCCTGATCAATAACAAGAGCACATTTAGTAATAAAATGATGATAACATATTTGTGAAATGGTATCAATGATACGCTTCTTTACGACCTAAATAATAACAAATATTTATTCTTAATTTATATAGATGATTGGACTACAAATAACTTACTAGACAGTAGGTCTCCAATACCATTTGAATATCTATTGCTGCTACAGCTTCATCAAATGTTAGTTTATGAGAGCTAGCACTCATCATGGAAGTGGTAAGCACTGTTGAAGTTAAAACTTCAGGTTTCAAAGTTTGCTTTTCTTCGAGATCATTTTTGGATTTTCGTTTCTGTATACAATCAACCTTCATCGTTGATGGAGAAACATCAGTCAACGGGATTGGTGGTGGCGCAGCTTCACCTTGTTGACCTTTCTCATTTTTATTCTGTCCTTTCAAATCGATGACTGTCTCCATATATAAATTATTTATTGTAAAGATTCTATATTCCATATCTAACATTTCTTGAACTCTTTCATGGGCTCGATCTTCAGCCATATCAATTTGTGTAATAATAATATCTTTAAGTCGTTCAAGTAGTCGAACATATTGACTATCAATTATCTGATGAAATATTCTTAATAAACTTTCTTTGAGATAATCTCGAATACGTTCAATTAAAGTAAAACAAGTATATGTGGTAAACGTTGAAGTTCTTGATGAAAAAGTCGTTCAATTATTCGATAACTTGGAAAATTAGGTAACGAAACACCCGTTGCATCATCAATGACTTGTAGAATAAGTTTATAATAACCCATTGAGGAAAAATTAGAAAAACTTTTCGTAAGCTCATCTTGAAATTTTCTTTGAAATCTATAGATATGATAAGCAAGACGATCATCACAAGGAATAGAATCTGTTGCTGTATCATCAATTTTAAATAGTATTCTAGAATCAACTACCTCTGATGATGCTTGATTACTAAGATTAATCATATTTATTCTTGTTAAAACATCATAATCTTCATTAACTTTAGCTCGAATACTTTCACGAAATGTATTAATCATTGATTGAAATTTTATCCAACAATCTTGTTCCGATGTCATCGCAATAGGCATATTTTTAAGTTCATTTTTTTTTTCTCGGATTTGTTTTCTTAATTCGTCAATAACTTGTGGAAGACTTGAGCGAATGCGATCTTGTTGATTTGTTGCTAATTTTTTAACCAATTGATCAATACCTTTGAACTCATCAGGTAAATGTTGAAAGGCCTCATGATGTTTGATAAAGAATTCTGCTTCACGTCTTTTCATTTCTTCGAATGATATGTTTTGATCAATTTCATCTTGATTTCGATTAAGTACAGCAACACAACCTAATTTTAGTTCCATTGCTCCTGGTCCTATTCCTAATAGTTTTTCTGCAATACCTTTGTCATATTTATCAATTTTTGAAGCAACTATTAATTGTCGAAGACATTGTGAATCAAATTCTTTAGCTAACTTCATCGATTCTGATGTTGTAAAATCTACAGAAGCTGGAATTACATGTAAAACAATCTGAACATAATGAGAAATTTAAAGAAATTCAACTTTCAATGTACAATCTTACAGCTGTTTGTGGTTCTAAATATTTATTAATCAAATTCAAAATTTGCGTATGAATATCTTTTGCTTGACCAGGAAGAGGATTTCAAGTGATACCAGGTAAATCAATAAGTGTTAAATCATATGGTATATTACGTTTGTAGACTGTTAAATAGATCGGTGTTGAACTTGCATTTGTTCCTTCACCAGCAATCTGATTCGTAAGACGTGTAACTGCAATACTAATCTCATTCATATAATGTAAGATTTCGCCTTCATCTTCTGAGCGTTTACCACTACGAATGATAGCATATTCATTGTCTCTCGTTGATTTAATACGTAGTTCTAATGGGCATCGTGTACAAATGTTTTTGTGCACGTGATAATTGAATTCCAGAAATAGCTTCAAGTACAGATGATTTTCCAACTGATTGATTATCAACTGCTACAATTTCTGGCAAAGTTATTCTTTCATTATGTAATATTTCACGCATTCGATCTGCCACAGACAAAAGGTCACTTGATTCTTTGTTATTAAGTTCGTTAACTAACATAGTATTTTTCTGAAAAAATAAATAGCAAGATGAAATGATATTTTAAATGTGGATTATTTTATGAATCTACGATTGTTTTGATGAGATAAAATGAATGATTGATTAAAATATTTTTAAATATAGGCTACAATCAGGAAAGGGAGCACACCGCTACCAAATATATTTAGTTATTTCTAGCTCAAGTATAAAAATAATTTTCTGAAGATACATATACCATGTAAGAAAATCATTTTCACAATATTCATTCATCTCAATTTTCTGTCTCTTAATAGACAAAAAAACCAAATGAGTATAGCATCAAAGTGACAACACCTGAAAATGTGATTTCACCTGTGCATGAGCCTCTTAGTAAAACTTGATAATAGAAAAGAATGAGTCTCGTCAAGGAACTAACAAAATATGAAAAACAAAGAATTTGCTGCAAAAGGAAGCTCGAAGAATGAATGTATTTCCTTTTTATTTTTGTAAGATATATTACCTAACCCATAGAACATCATCTTATATAAATATTATTTTGTTTGATGTTTCTCTGTCTTATTATTCTTCCCAGGAATGTTTACGTCCAACGAAAAAAACTGAAATAATTACAATTCTAGAAAAAATATTTATACTTATTCTTAATGGACAACGTAAAACAAAACCTATGAATATGCAGAAATATTTATATTTCGTCAAAGAAAAAAAGTTGATGACTTTTCTTCCAAGAAGAAGATGTATGTGGATGGGAGTGTTGATGTGAATGTCTGTAACTTTGGGTGAAATCAATAAACATGTCCGCACCCCCACCCATACCTGTGACCATTCATTCTGGCCCTTATGGTTGCTGCAACAAAGGGTGTGGGTGTGTGTAGGTGTGTGGCTGTGGCTGTAGTTTTGGGTGTTGAGTATCCTGTTTACATTATTGCCACATCCACACCCACCCATCCTCTATTTTGTATTCAGAAGCATAGTATCGACGAAATCGATCACTACAAGTCTCAACAATGACATAAATGAATTTAATCAAGGAAATAGTTTTTATAGCCAATTTTATCCCAAAAGTCACAATCACTCTTCAAATAGTTTTGGCCAATGTAAAGGGGATCTTGAAAGTACATATACGTTTCCTTGCCAGTCGTTACACGTGGCCATGGTATTGACACTTTCAGTGGTTCATTAGGATCTTCACTCTTTGCGAAATTAGTCCAATAGGTAGCCATACTTTGAGATACGCGACGACCAGCATCAGTAAAATTGTCCCAATGTGATTCAAAAGTAAACGGTAGTTCATCACCATGACAAGCATGATTACTACATTGTATACGATTTTTCGAATTTATTGTGTCGAATGGATAACTGAAGACGTAATAATACGATGCAGCTTTACGAGCAAAGACTCGTGTTGAACAGGCGAACACCCATTGTGTGGCAACGCGAGATAGTAATGGTCGCTGATCATCCGAACTATCCGGTGGATATTGCTTAAGAACTTTGAATGCGTTTTCTCGAAAGATGATCAAACCTATTCCGATATATTCACTAGGTGATAATGGTTTTTGCCATGTTCCGTAAACAAAATCCAGACTTTCTTCTATGACTGTACCAATGATAAGTGGTTTTAGTGGAAATGATATATTACGGACAATGTCCAGAAGTTGACCATGAACAATCACATTGTCGATAACAGGTGTCCATGGTTCGAAAAAGAACAGAATATCCAATGAAGTAAGCATCTTATTCACAATATTTTGAGCAGCAATGATCTCATTTGTTGAACGGGTTCGAAAGCATGTCACATTGCCGATGGCACAATGAAGTTGTTCGGCAAGGAGAGTACCGGGTGTGACATATTCCAAATATGTTCTAAATCATAATTATAAAAAAGAATCTCTCATATTGTATTCTCATTTGATTGCATCTCATTTGATTGCAATACCTAAATTGAATTGTCATCGGTGAGCTCTGAATGATAGCTCGCTGAAAAAATAGCTGCATTTCACTTGTGACATAGTGTAGAGCAGTAGATTGAGCACCAGCACTTTGACCAAATAGTGTAATCTATAGACAAAGAGTGATTGCAATGACAATATATGGAATCTTCATATTTGTTCGAACCTCATTTGGATCACCTCCGAATGCATCAATATTGGCTTTTACCCAAGCAATAGCCAAGCGTTGATCGAGTATACCATAGTTACCTTTGATATCATTGGGACCGGTTCCAGTTGCAAAGAAGCCAAGTACACCTGTTTTTATTATGTTCTCATGCAGATATGTCGCCAGAAGATCAATATTCGACACTTACCAAGACGATATTGAATCAATACTACTATTACATTTGTTGTATTAACCAGATGTTCAGATTCGAAGACCGGTTGTGAAGCATCGGTAAACTGAAAGTTGCCACCATGAATAAAGATCATTACTGGCAGAGGTTTTGCCAATGATGAATTACTCGAAATTGGTGTGAATAAATTCAAGTAAAGACAATCTTCAGATACCTATTATACGAGAGTTGATCATTTATAGAAAAAAAGTCATGTTCAATTATATATTGACAAAAATATTTACAGTAGTTGCAATGAAAATAGAAGTCATTGTGCTTGTTGGCTGAGAACAAGCAGGACTTGGTCGTGTAGCATTAATCACTTTGGGATGCCATTTTGCGACAGGTACTGGAGGCTGCCATCTATATAGAAGTGGATGGCCTAGGTCAAAAACTATCAACGAATTTAACTTGAGCTATCTCAATGCGCCAGTAGGTGGTTGAGCAAATGGAATGCCATAGAAGATACGAGCCAAATTGGTCTGATAACCTAATACATCACCATATTGTGTATGAATAATTACAGGCTCGATGGCATTAATATTTCGTGCAAAAAAGACTTGAATGAAAATGACGATAACAAACATCATCATCTTTTCGCACACTGAAAGATATGTGTATTCCGTTTTGTTTCTATCAATGAGCAAATAGTTCTTGAGTGACTGATAAGGAAGAGACATTATCACAAGAAATATACCTTGTCATACTTCAAAACAATAACAAGGCTTAATACATTGACTGTCTCTTAAAAATTGAAGTTTTTTATCAACTTCATTTCGTTCTAATGCTGCTTAGTAGTTTTCAATTGAATGGTTCAATAATCTACACAAGCAGTCTCTTCGAAATGATTGTACACTTTCGTGTTAATCTAATAATGCCGAATAAGGTTTATCTGCTAATAAAGGTCTATCAATTGATTTTTTTCAAATGTGACTTTTTCGCTTGACGAGAGATTTTTTCTATCTGGGTGCCACTCTAGTTGTGGATGTGACTGAATCTTCTCTTCACTTACATGGACACCCATACGCACACTCATACCAGAATACACACCCACATCCTGTGTGCTAGAACCAAAACCAGAAGAATTACTTCCACTAATATTCATTCAGTTCACGGGCGAACTGTGTTCAATGCTTTATTCGGCAAGCTCGCAAGGTGGCAGAAACAATAAGGAAAGTTTGTTTCGATTTCTGAATATCTTCTTTTCTTTTTCATTGCTCAGTTTTCTGTCTTAATTCTTTTCTTCTTTTTCTCTACTTCTCAGTCAGACAATACTCTTTAAAAAAACGCATGTTTAGCTTCCAATGTTATAGCTTTACCGCGGAAAGTCGTAACAAATATTTGGATGACGCTATGAAGATCTATAAAAATGAGAATACACTGCGATACTCATAGGCAACGACCATAGACACTTTTTCCAATTGAGTTGCAATATTTTAGATAATTATAAGGTTTCTTTTGGATAAATTTTAGTTTTCGTTTCCAAAAAAGACCACGGAATCTACTTGAGGTTTTTAAAAAAATGTTAAAGAACTCTCAAGGTTTGTGCAATTAAGTGAGTGGAACCCTTTTTTGAAAAGTTTAGAATCCAAATCTCCTCTTTGGTTACTTGAGGTCACGGCGGTCCAACTATGCTTCTTTCGACGACAACTAAGGAAGTAGAAGCTTTTTGTTTGGATATTATAATTATGTAGGACAGTGCCCAAGAAGTCAACGATGAGAAATCAACTCGTTGAAACGATAGTTTTGTTTTTCTTTCAAAGCGTTTAAGCTTTCGAGATTGACCATTCTTTTCGGAGTGTGGGTATGGGTATAATTATGCATATCAGTGTGTGTGGGGAGGGGGGGTGCTATGGTGGGCGTCATGCGACTGAGCTTTGTACTCGTATGTTTACGTGTCGGTGTGTTGATATCTTTTTCACAGCCTCGCCTGTAGATTCACACCAAAAACGCATGCCGACGCGTATTTCTTTCTACCTCGCTTACAATTGAGTTATTTTTCGACCCTTTTGTTCGAAAGTATAACTTTTGCCATTATTAATCGGATACTAGCTTTCTTTTGCATGACCTTTTCGATTATCATTGATGCTATATTTTTATACTATCAGGGATAATGGGTGTTCTCTATATGAGTATATTCCTAATACCAGCCTACTTGAATGCACAGTAAACTGAAAAAGATCGTCATCCACAAGCGAAATATTGCTAGCCATATACATGTACGAGTGATCTTGAATCCAAAGGTTCTTGATAATATCATCTGCACAAGCAAGGGCTTATGGTAATAATTCCTGGAGATTCTCATATCAAATTCATAGTTCAAATATGGGGCTGACGATAAACACTTACGAAGAACCGTATGGAGTGTAGATCTGTTTCGGATGCTATAGTCAGACAATGTTTTGGCATTTTCAAGCTGTTTTTCTGTAAAAAGTAGCCGTAGTTGATCATATGGTATTCCTTCTCTATCTTGTATTTTGGCTTTGATATTTTCAATAGTATCGGATGATTGAACTTGTAATGTTAGTGTTTTACCAGTCAGAGTTTGAACATATATTAGCATAGGGTCAGGAATACCTTTAAAAGTGAGAATGAGGTACTACATGTGTAAGAAACGATCATAAAAAAATTTTTATGACGAATGCGCTGTAATATTATAGAAAATGAGTAAGTTGCTGATGGCGTAAACTTTAGTATGCATTTCAGAAAAGATGGACCGATTGTACTCAATCTTTTCATATTAATGTAATAGGGCTCAGAAAAGTTTCAGATTCGGTAAGGTAATCCTTTTTGGAATATTTAGAATCAGAGTCTTCTCTTTCATGATGCTATTAAAGAGTAGTCGAAATGTAATTTCTGCGAAGAAAATACTGAAGTACAAGCTTTTGTTTCCATATTGTGATTATATAGGGCACTGTTTCAGGTATCAAACACGAGGAATAAACTCGTTGAAATGATAGCTTAGTTTTCCTTTCAAAAATATTTACAATTTGGAGAGATATTAGCTTTTTCAGAGTTTCGATATGGGCATAATTATGAATGTGGACGGGTGTGGTAGTGAATGTCGTGTAAGTGTAGGGTATACATGTGTGTTTCGATATCTGAGTGCCTACGTATTCTTCACATCTTCACCTGTACATTCACACCAAAAACGCACACCGACGCATATTTCTTTCTACCTCTGTTACAAGTAAGTTGTTTTCGACACTTTGTTAGTAGGCATAATTATTGTCATTATCGAATGGATAGTGAATTTCTTTTCCTTGATCTTTCCGATTATTATTCATGTTTCATTGTTACGCTATGATCAGTAATAGTTAATTTCTAAATACGTATATTCCTAGCATGAACCTACTCCCATACACAGTAAACAGTGATTGACGACCATCCACAAGGGAAATATCCTTAGTCCTATATATGTACTAGCGGTCTTGAATTCAAAGATATTTGACAGCATAATCTACATAAGGAGGGGTTTATGATTGTAATTACTGGAGACCCTCACACGTAATCCATAATCCAAATATTTGGTTGAGGATAAATGCTTACGAAGAGCGCGATGAAGTGTGGATTTGTGTTGAACGTTCTAGTGAGGACGTGTGTTTAGGTTTCCTCAAAAGTAGTTTTCTGATTTTACCAAAATTTCTGTTCACTGTAATCAACCGATAAGGGTATGGGTATGAGTGTGTGGATATAGAAATGGGTGTAGGTGTGGGTGGGTGTTGGCGTTTGGGTGTAAGTGTCGGTGGTGCGTGGGTGGGTGTGGATGTTGTTGTGGATGTGTGGGGGATTAGGTAGGAGTATAGATGTGAGTGTGAATGATGGTCGTCTATCCCAGTACAGACTAACTGTACCAATAGTTACAGCCACATCTGCAGGCATAATCACATCCTTTGTCGACATTTTTAGAAATTCTGCAAAGTTGTTTTTTGCAGTAGTTAGTATTTTCGAAATACTGAGAAGAAGAATGTTATTCCTATCCTAGATTTCGATAGAAAAACAGATGGATTGATTTAGCTTTCTACAAACACGAGCTGAGATGCTTCTCGTCATATGGAAAGGAGGGTCGTGCCTGGAGAAGTAAAAAGTTTAGTGATAAACTATTGTGAAGTTCTTTAAAAGAACTGATATAGAGCATCTTCTAGAAACTATACAATGATTTCTATGACATCCAGAGGAAGAATCTCAGCAAGAAAGAAACATGGTACATTAGAAACCTGAATTTGTAGCCTGGTCAAAATTCCATGAGAATTCAAAGAATCTTATTCATGTCTGCTTTTAGAAGTTTGATAGTAACGTTTACGAACTTCTTTGACGGTTTTCAAGAATGGATATTACGAATCCTTGCATAAGCAGCGCTCATTCTAATAAGGATTTTTTGATCGCAAAAACTAGTGATCGAAGTTTCAAACGAATCAGAAAGCCTTCATTCCAATTCGATTGGATGCAATATATGCTGGTACAGAATAGCACATATTATTGTTTTCGAACGTGTTAGTTACAATTTTCATTCTAATATGGGTGTGGGGTGTGGATGTGGATGTGGAGATTCTTTTGTATTTGTACCCGCACCCACCCTACACACTCACACCCACACTCACACTCACATTTCACTTCAACATAACCATTTTTTAATTCATTATCATTAATTTTTTTATTTTCAATTGGTTCATTTTCATCATTTTTTGTTAATTGAAGATTGTCATTTATTTACATTTCTTTTAATGTATCTTCGATTTCTTCAGATGAATTTTCAATTTCTATAGGTATTCCACCTTCTCACCAATCATTTTCCACTGGTTTTCTGCAAAGAAAATAATAAATAATTCCGCTTTCTAAAATAAAACTATTTCATATGAATAACTTATTCGGAATTTTCTATTGCTGCTGTTGTTGTTGTATCATTTTCCTATAAATATGTAAGATTTAAAAACAAACAAATTTTTATAAAAATCAAAGAGACAAACTTGTTTAGCGGTATTATTATCTGTTTGTGTAGTTGATGGTTTTTTTTGCATATCACATCTAAGTTCTTCACCTATTTCATTTGCATAAAGTATATTAAATTCTTTAAATTGCTATTATTGTATGATTTAA